CTTAAGGGAAAGGCTCTCAGCTTTTCCCCATTGAGATGATATTCACTAAGTGTTTTTCATAGATGGATTTTATGAACTTGAGGAATCTTCCCTCTATTCCTATACTCTGAAGAGTTTTAATCAAGAAGGGATGCTGTATTTGTCAAATGTTTTTAATGCATCAATTGAGAGGACCATATGGTTCTTCTCTCTCCTCTTATTAATGTGTTCTATCACATTGATTGGTTTGTGAATGTTGAACCACGCTTGCATCCCAGGGATAAATCCCACTTGGTTGTGGTGGATGATCCTCTTAATGTATTGTTGGATCCTATTAGCTAGGATTTTGTCGAGGATTTTGGAATCCATATTCATTAGGGATATCAGTCTGAAATTCTCCTTTTTGGTGGGGTCTTTGCCTGGTTTGGGGATTAATGTAATGCTGGCCTCATAGAATGAGTCTGGAAGCTTTCCTTCTGTTTCTATTTTTTGAATCAGCTTCAGTAGAATAGGTATTATTTCTTCTTTGAATGTTTGGTAGAATTCCCCAGGGAATCCATCAGGCCCTGGACTCTTGTTTTTTGGGAGGTTTTTGATCACTGCTTCAATCTTGTTACTGGTTATTGGCCTATTCAGGTTGTCAATTTCTTCCTGTTTCAGTCTTGGCAGTTTATAGGTTTCCAGGAAGGCATCCATTTCTTCCAGGTTGCTCAATTTATTGACATATAGTTGTTGATAATAATTTCTAATAATTGTTTCTATTTCCTTGTGTTAGTCGTGATTGCTCCCTTTCATTCATAATTTTATTTATTTGAGTCCTTTCTCTTTCCTTTTGGATAAGTCTGGCCAGTATTTATCAATCTTATTAATTCTTTCAAAGAAGCAGCTTCTAGTTTTGTTGATCTGATCTACTGTTTCTGGTTTCTAATTCATTGATCTCTTCTCTAATCTTAATTATTTCTCTTCTAATGTGTGTCTTAGGCACTGTTTGTTGCTTTTTCTCTAGTTCTTTAAGGTTTAAAGTTAGTTGGTAAATTCAGGATTTTTCTATTTTTTTGAGTGAGGCTTGGATGGCTATGATTTTTCCCCTTAGGACTGCCTTTTCAGTATCCCATAGGTTTTGGACTGATGTGTTTTCATTCTCATTGGTTTCCATGAGTTTTTCAAATTCTTCTTTGATTTCCTGGTTGACCCAAACATTCTTGAGCAGAAAGTCTTTAGCTTTCAAGTGTTTGAATTTCGTCCAAATTTTTTCTTGTGATTGAGTTCCAGTTTTAAAGCATTATGGCCTGAGAATATGCAGGGAATAATCTCAATCTTTTGGTACAGCTGAGACCTGATTTGTGACCCTTATGTGATCTATTCTGGAGAAAGTTCCATGTGCGCTCGAGAAGATTGAATATTCTGTTGTTTTAGGGTGGAATGTTCTGTATATATCTATGAGGTTCATCTAGTCCAGTGTATCATTCAAAGCTCTTGTTTCTTTGTTGATTTTCTGCTTAGATGATCTGTCTATTTTTGAGAGTGGAGTATTGAGGTCTCCTACAATTTATGTATTGTTATCAATATGACTCTTTAGTTTGGTTAACAGTTGGCTTATGTATATGGCTGCTCCCTTGTTGGGAGTGTAGATATTTACAGTTGTTAGATCTTCTTGTTGGATAGACCCTTTAAGAATGATACAGTGTCCTTCTGTGTCTCTAACTGCAGTCTTTAGTTTAAAATCTAATTTGTCTCATACAAGAATTGCTACCCCAGCTTTCTTTTGAGGTCCATTGGCATGGAAGATGGAACTCCATCCCTTCACTTTCAGTCTGGATGTATCTTTAAGTTCAAAATGAGTCTCTTGTAGACAGCATTAGATGGGTCCTGTCTTTTTATCCAATCTTCAACGCTGTGCTGTTTTATGGGAGCATTAGGTCATTCATATTGAGAGTGATTATTGAAAGTTATGAATTAATTGTCATCATGTTACCTGTGAAGTTCTTGTTTCTATAGATTGTCCCTGTAAATTTCTGTTCTATATCACTCTTGGGGTCTTTCTCCTTTTATATAACCCCCCTTAATATTTTTGCAGGGCCGGCTTAGTGGTCACATATTCTTTCAGTTTCTGCTGGTCTTGGAAGCTCTGCATCTTTCCATCCATTCTAAATGACAGTCTTGCCAGATAAAGTACTCTTGGCTGCATGTTCTTCTCCTTTAGTACCCTGAATATGTCTTGCCAGGCCTTTCTGGCTTGCCAGGTCTCTGTGGATAGGTCTGACGTTATTCTGATGTTCCTCCCTCTGTACATAAGGAATCTCTTCCCCCTAACTGCCCTTAAGATGGTTTCCTTGGTTTTAAGATTTGTGAGTTTGCTATTACATGCTGGGGCATTGGCCCCTTTTACTTGACCTTGGGAGGGGTCCTCTTTGCCTCTAGGACACAAACGTTTGTTTCATTCCCCAGAATAGGGAAGTTCTCAGCTACGATTTGCTCAAATATATCTTCTAGTCCTCTCTCTATCTTCACCCCCTCAGGGGTCCCCATAATTTTGACATTGTAGCGTTTCATGGCATCACTTAATCCTCTGATTCTATTTTCATGGATTTTGAGTTGTTTTTCCCTGGCCTCCTCTTTTTCCTTCTTGTCTATTAATTGGTCTTCTAGATCACTAATTCATTCTTCTGCCTCGCTTACCCTAGCTATTAGATTATCTAGATTAGAATGGATCTCATTGATAGCATTTTTAAGTTCTGTCAATTTAGGTTTCATTTCTGCCCTCAGAGACTCTATGTTGCCATTAATCAATTCTTCATTTTAGCTATTGTCTTCACAATTGCTACCTTGAATTCCATCTCCCACATCTTGGTTATATCTGTATTCATTTGCAAATCTATGGCATAAGTCATAGTCTCTGAGTGTTTCCTATTTTGGGGGTTCCTCCTCCTAGTCATTTTGTTGAGGGGTGGTTGAGGGAATGTATAGAGTCCAAATTATTGACCACAACCCAAGCAAGATGCACGTGTTTTTAGGGACCTTAGGGTTGCTGGCCTCTTGTTCTCCCAGCCTGTCTTCTGGGGGAGGGTCCTGCAATGCTGTAACTCAGGCAACCCTGTTTGGGCAGAGTTGCCCTGACCCTTTTGGTGGGGAATGGGCTCAATGAAAACTGGTTTTGGGGGCTTTTATTCTCTGGTGGCTTTCCTTGGTGGCTTTCCACATCTCTTCCAAGAGTCAGAACAGAAGAGTTCTTTTCCAACCCTCTGCCTCAGAAAGGAGAGATTTCAGTCTGTTCTTCAGTGAGCTCTCCAGGCCAAACTATCTCTGTTTCTGTCTGTGCTGCTATAAACTGCAGTGTCCTGGGTTGTGCGCCCCTCAGCAGGGCTCCCAGTCCTGGCCTCCAGGTTGAGGTGTGGGGGCACGTCTCTGCCCTTTGTGCTTATAAAACTGGCAGCCACCCCCAGTTCACACGTGCAGGCCCACACTCTGGTTTCAGTTCGTGGGGCTGCCCTAAAGTCCGTTCCCCATTGCTACTGGTCTGCGAATCTGTGACCGGTCCCCAGTGTGGGAGGCTATCCCTCACCGGCGGTGTAGGATCCCAATGGCTCGCCTCCTCCCCTTCCATTTATCCTCGGATATCTGCCTGTGGAATCATGGCTCTCCGCTTCATACCTCGAAACCAACTGCCTGTGGTATTCTGTTTGTAGAGATCCAGATCTATCTTCTTACATCTCAGGCTGATTTTGTGGGTGTTCAGAGTGGTCTTGTGGATATCCAGCTCAATTCCGGGGACTGGTTGGAATAGCGTCCCCTACTCCTCCACCATCTTTTCCACGTTCCTTATCTCTCCTAGTCTTGATGAAGTGCTGTTTTGTAGGGAATGAACCTAATCATTCAGTCTGGCCTGAGCTTTTTGTTGTCTCTCAAACCTGTGTGCAAGTTCCTTTCTTTGTGTTTAGTGGCCTTCAGTAGATGAGGGTGTGCCAAGACCAGTAACTGTCTCAAAAGGAAAGATCTCATCAGCTCCAAGAAACAGATTGAAAGCTAGATGCTCAGGCAGCAGCTTTAAAGGAAGGAAATAAGCCTGAAAGGGAAAGACTGGGAATTGGTGGTGGTGGGGGCTAGCTGGTTAAAAAGTGTTTCTTTGTTTGCTGTAGTCCTATGGGAAAAGTGAATTAAAGCTCCACTGCACACCAGAGTCAGGTGATTGAGGGGAGCATACTCTGAGGAGCAGCCACAGAACCTGGGGCATCAGATGTGTGCATAAGCTCCTGCCAGGGAGACACTGATGGCCTGGAATGGGCCTGAGGGTGAAGGTGGAGGTGGTGTCTCCTGGCCTTCTTGGTTTCTGGGGAAGATTGCAGTCAGCCCCTAGGGTGCTAAATCAGAAGACTGACCCTTAGGCATCAGCTTTTAAAGTAGGTAGATAAGCCTCTTTCAGGGAAAGGCTTGGAGATAGGCATTTCTGTCTGCTTCCTCTGGCTGAGCGTTGGGGGAATAGTCACATTGTATCCTCATGAGTCCATTAAGAACTGTTTCTTTGCTATAATTTTGTGGGTCTCATGGATGTAAGCCATATTAGCTTTCAGAGCTCCTTACCACTGACAAAGTGCTTTCACCTTAATTTCCATCTCATGTAATTCTCTATATAACCCTGGGAAGTGGTAGGAAATGTGGTTTATCTCTATTTTAAAATAAAGGATAGCAAGGTCAGTGTCAACATTTGTTTTTGGTATCATTCCTTTATGTTTTAATATTATTCCAGTATTTTGATATTTCTTTATATTCCCTTATTAGTATGCCTGACATTCCACATCAATAGAGGCTATTGCTCAGAGGCAACAGTACTATATGTTATGAAATGGACTTTGTTTGGGTGTCAGATTTCTCTGTACAAACATATAATCCACTCAGGGTGATGAGAATATCTCTTTGCCTAAAGTCAAACTACTAGTAACTGGTAGAATAGGCCCTTCAAAGTAGGTCTTTAGACTTCAAATCCAAGACTATGCTATTTTATACTGTTTCTCATGGGATAAGGTTTAAGGGATGATGATTGACTTGTTCCCAGCAACCCTTGTGGAAACTGGTACAACTGAGGCTATACCAATCCCACTCAGCTTCACACCAGAGTCTCTCTTATTTCTGTCCAACAATCTCTCAATCCACAGTCTCTTCATGGCATTTTTCACCTCCATGTTTCTCAGGGTGTAGATCAGAGGGTTTAACATGGGTGTGATGGTGGTATAGAACACAGCCACTATCTTGTCCTCAGTAAAAGTGGTGGAAGGCCTTAGGTAGATGAAGAGGCAGGGGACAAAAAACAAGATCACCACTATGATGTGGGAAGCACATGTGGACAGGGCCTTGCGCCTCCCCTCTGATGAACGGGTCTTAAAGGAAAGCAAGATGACAATGTAAGAGCCCACAAGAATGACCAAGCAGCTCAGGGAAATCATGCCACTGTTGGCTATCACAATGACCCCCACCACATATGTGTCTGTGCAAGCCAGCTTCAGTAAAGGGTGGACATCACAGAAATAGTGGTCAATCAGGTTGGGGCCACAGAAAGGCAGTCGTACAGTGAGGATGGTCTAGATAAAGGAATGCACAAATCCTTCTAACCAACAGATTACCACCAGTATGGAGCAGACCTTCTGGTCCATGATAGTCATATAGCATAGAGGCTTACAGATAGCCACATACCTGTCATAGGCCATCACTGTGGGAATAAAGATCTCTGTGCAGCCAAAGAGATGGGAGAAAAAGAGCTCCACCATACAACCAACAAAAGAGATGCTCTTGACTTTGGCTTGGGAATCAATAATCAGCTTGGGGGCTGTAACAGAGGAATAGCAGATGTCCACAAAGGATAGGAAGCTAAGGAAGAAGTACATTGAAGACTTGAGATTTGGACTCCTTTGAATTGTCATTATAATGAGAAAATTTCCCGTCATGAGTATCATATAAAAGAGTAAGAACAAAAAGAAGCATAGTTGCTGTACCTTCTCATTTTGGGAAAGACCCATGAAGATAAATTCAGTAACATTATTTTCCATGGAACCTGGGAAGTTCATAAGAGAGAAATATAGTGCGACTTTACCTATAGGAAAAAAATAAGAAGGATAATTAGATTTGGGCACATGGTATCACAACATTGTTAAAAAAAATTATTCTCAAAATTTCTTTCTCACTTTAAGGTAGTGGTTTGGGTAAAGTCTGTTTCTTAAAATTACCAGAGATGGGGAAGCAGGTGGGAGGACAGAGAGAGAGAGAGAGAGATGGACAGACAGAGAAAGAGAGAGAAAGTCTGACAGTCTTTAAACAGATTTAGGAATGCAGTCTAGGCTGCCCTCTTAAGTGTCAGTTGCCTGAATCATTGTTGCTCCAGAATTTAAATTAAATCTCTTTGTTAAATCAAGACTCCAATTGGCAATCTTCAGTCTCTTTGCTTGAGGATGCTTTTCATCCATTTTCCAGTTCGTGTATGTAATCTACAAAAGTAAGCGCACGTGCGCGCACGCGCGCGCGCACACACACACACAGACACAGACACATTTGTGCTCACAAATATGTAAGTCTTAAAATGTGCACTTTGAGTCAAACCTAGGATGTTAATAACCTTTTTATGAGACCCCTTGGCTTCCCAAATTCCTGATCGACTGACTGGCTTTGTCATATTTTAGATTATTCCAGGACTTAACTCTTTGTCCCTTCTTATATGTCTAAAAGTTGGGAAACATGCATAGAGTCTTCATGAAAAGGGACTACCATCTGCAAGATGCTTAAGACTTCAGAACCTAGTTGACATGTTATAAAATATGGGAAGAAAATAACTCTTGAGTAGGTTTAGATCTTTTAGATCTTAACAATGACCAACAGTGATTTCTGGGGCAAGTTACTTACATTGATAGAGACCCAGTTTCTTTGGCCATTGGTGTAGTCTCTACATGAATACCAGGGTCTCCTCCACTTTAGCCTTATGTCATAGACTTTGGGATGATCATTTCAATACAATGAATCATTGTCATTGAATGTAGTTTCTTTGTTTCATTATCCATGTATTCCTTTGAATCAAAAGATGTGTGAAGGTGGGGGACAATGTGTATCATTTTCTTTGTATTGCCTGAGCAACTGTTCAAAATCTTTGGGATGCAGCAAAGGCAATGCTAGGAGGGAAGTGTATAGCAAGACAAGCCTTTCTCAAGAAACAGGAAAGATCTCAAATACACAACCTAATCCCACACCTAAAGGAGCTGGAGAAAGAACAGCAAAAAAGCCCACACCAAGCAGGAGAAGAGAAATAAAAAAGATCAGAGCAAAAATCAATGAAATAGAAACCAAAAGAAAAGTAGAACAGATCAGTGAAACTAGGCGCTGGTTCTTTGAAAGAATTAATAAGATTGATAAATCCCTGGCTAGACTTAACAAAAAGAAAAGAGGAAGGACCCAAGTTATTAAAATCATGGATGGAAGCAGAGAGATCACAACCAACACCAAAGAAATACAAACAATTATAAGAACATATTATGAGCAACTATATGCCAGCAAATTAGACAATCTGGAAGAAATGGATGCATTCCTAGAGATGCATAAACTACCAAAACTGAACCAGGAAGAAATAGAAAACCTGAACAGATGCATAACCAGCATGGAAATTGAAGAAGTAATCAAAAGTCTCCCTGCAAACAAGAGCCCAGGGCCAGGGGCTTCCCAGGAGAATTCTATCAAACATTAAAGAAGAATTAATAGCTATTCTTCTGAAGCTGTTTCAAAAAATAGAAACAGAAGGAAAACTTCCAAATCGTTCTATAAGAACAGCATTACCTTGATCCCCAAACCAGACAAAGACCCCATCAAAAAGGAGAATTACAGACCAATATCCTTGATGAACATGGATGCAAAAATTCTCACCAAAATACTAGCCAATAGGATCCAACAGTACATTAAAAGGATTATTCACCAGGACGAAGTGGGATTTATTCCTGGTCTGCAAAGTTGGTTCAACATCCACAAATCAATCCATGTGATACAATACATTAATAAAAGAAAGAACAAGAACCATATGATCCTCTCAATAGATGCAGAAAAAGCATTTGACAAAGTACAGCATCCTTTCTTGATTAAAACTCCTCACAGTGTAGGGAAGAGGGAACATACCTCAATATCATAAAAGCAATATATGAAATTCCATAGTGAATATCATTCTCAGTGGGGAAAAACTGAGAGCTTTCTCCTTAAGGTGAGGAACACAGCAGGAATGTCCACTCTCACCACTTTTGTTCAACATAGTACTAGAAGTCCTGGCCTCAGCAATCAGACAACAAAAAGAAATAAAAGGCATCTGAATCAGCAAAGAAGTCAAACTCTCACTCTTTAGAGAAGACTTGTTTCTCTATGTGGAAAACCCAAAAGACTCCACCCCAAAATTGCTACAACTCATAGAGCAACTCAGAAACATGGCAGGATACAAAATAAATGCAAAGGTATCAGTTGCATTTCAATACACTAACAATGAGACAGAAAAAAGAGAAATTAAGGAGTCAATCCCATTTACAATTGCACCAAAAACCATAAGATACCTAGGAATAAACAATCTATACTCAGAAAACTGTAGAACACTTCTGAAAGATTGAGGAAGACCCAAAGAGATGGAAAAATGTTCCATGCTCAGGAATTGGAAAAACAAATAATGTGAAAACGTCTATGCTACCTAGAGCAATCTACACATTTAATGCAATCACTATCAAAATACCATCAGCTTTTTTTCAAAGAAATGGAACAAATCCTAAAATTTGTATGGAACCAGAAAAGACCCTGAATAGCCAGAGGAATGTTGAAAAAGAAAACCAAAACTGGTAGCACCACAATTCTGGACTTCAACCTCCATTACAAAGCTGTAATCATCACGACAGTATGGTACTGGCACAAAAACAGACACATAGATCAATGGAACAGAATAGAGAGCCCAGAAATGGACCCCCAACTCTATGGTCAAATAATCTTTGACAAAGCAGGAAAGAATGTCCAATGGAAAAAACTCTCTTCAACAAATGGTGTTGGGAAATTGGACAGCCACATGCAGAAAAATGAAACGACCATTTCCTTACACCACACACAAAAATAGACTCAAAATGGTTGAAAAACCTAAATGTGAGACAGAAATCCGTCAAAATCCTAGAGGAGAACATGGGCAGCAACCTCTTTCACCTCCTCCGCAGCAACTTCTTGCTAGACACGTCTCCAAAGGCAAGGGAAGCATGGGCAAAAATGAACTGCTGGGACTTCATCAAGATAAAAAGCTTTTGTACAGCAAAGGAAATAGTTGACAAAACTAAAACGCAACTTACGGAATGGGAGAAGATATTTGCAAATGACATATCAGATAAAGGGCTAGTATCCAAAATCTATAAAGAACTTATCAAACTCAACACTCAAAGAACAAATAATCTAATCAAGAAATGGGCAGAAGGCAAGAACAGACATTTCTCCAAAAAAGACATTCAAATGGCCAAGAGACACATGTAAAAATGCTCCACATCACTTGCCATGAGGAACATACAAATCAAAACCACAATGAGATACCACCTCACACCAGTCAGAATGGCTAAAATTAACAAGTCAGGAAATGACAGATGTTGGCAAGGATGCAGAGAAAGGGGAACCCTCCTACACTGTTGGTGGGAATGCAAGCTGGTACAGCCACTCTGGAAAACAGTATGGAGGTTCCTCAAAAAGTTGAAAATAGAGCTACCCTAGACACAGCAATTGCACTACTGGGTGTTTACCCCAAAGATACACATATAGTGATCCGAAGGGGCATGTGCACCCCTATGTTTATAGTAGCAATGTCCACAATAGCCAAACTATGGAAAGAGCAAAGATATCCTTCAACAGATGAATGGATAAAGAAGATGTGGTGTATATATATGTACAATGGAATACTACTCAGCCAACAAAAATTGAAATTTTGTCATTTGCAATAATGTGGGTGGAACTAGAGGTTGTTATGCCTAGTGAAATAAGTCAGTCAGGGAAAGATAATTATCATATGATCTCACTGATATGTGGAATTTAAGAAACAAAACAGATGATCATAGGAGAAGAGAGGAAAAAATAAAACAAGATGAAATCAGAGAAGGACACAAAGCATGAGACTCTTAATCATTGGAATCAAACTGAGGGCTGCTGGAGGGGAGAGGGGTGGAGGTATGGGGTAACTGGGTGATGGACATTAAGGAGGGCATGTGATGTAATGAGCTCTGGATATTATATAAGGCTGATGAATCAAAAACCTGTACCTCTGAAACCAATAATACATTATATGTTAATTAAAAAAAAGGTGGGAAAACTGTAAGAAAAAAATAACATCCAGTCAGGGTGTTATATGCAATTGCTGAACACTACATCTAAAATTAATGATGTACTGGGGAGGAGGAGCAAGATGGCGGAGGAGTAGGAGACCTAAATTTTGTCTGGTCCTAGGAATTCACCTAGATAGTTATCAAACCATTCTGAACACCTACAAACTCAACAGGATATCGAAGAAAAGAATATCAGCAACTCTATGAAAAGATAAGCGACCACTTTCTGGAAGTTAGGATGTGTGGAGAAGTGAATCTGAAGCAATATCTGGGAAGATGGACCACGGATGGAGGGAGCCTCTGTCAGCCAGCTACTGGCAAGTGATAGAGCCGTGGAGCACAAAATCAGAACTTTTAGAAGTCGGCTCCGCTGAGGGACGTCGCTCCAGTGGCTAAACTGGGGGGTGGAACACTCGCTGGGACAATGTGGTCTCAGGACCCTCGGGGTCACAGAAAGACTGGGGGTAACTGAGTGTGGCAGAGCTCCCAGGTATCCAAGTGGGGAAGCTGGCTGCAAAGACGGAGCCGAGGAGTGGGCTCTCAGCACTGGGTTGCGATAAACCATGATCCTCAGCACAGTCGGGCCACTACTCTTCGAGGAGGGACCCAACAAGCAGCAGATCCAGAGAGACTCCCCTTCCTCCCCTTGGAGGAGTGGCACGGGAGTGAACTGCAGGAATCTGCTGGGTTTGGAG